AAAATATATATTTTTTTTTATTTCAGACTAGTCTTAATTAAGTTAGCAAAAAAATCTCTATAATCCTGATAATTTATATTTTTCTTTTAATCGTTAAATATCGTTAATATAACAATTTATTGACTTTTATATAACTTTTTCTGGATAATTAGGTGTTTTATTGATAATCATCAGGCGAGAGAAAAGAATAAGAAATGAGTTCTGGATAAAGATCCGAATTGGGATACAAACGGATCGCAGTTTTAGAGCCAAAAGTGTGGTTAGATATATGAATAATGTATTTGAATGTAGGAGAAACACGGTGATCATATTTAGAATAAAAATTCGAGTGATTAAGAGTTTTTAAATTGTTGGAAATTCGAGAAAATTAGAAATCTAAAAGATTGGCAATCAAGGCCCGATATACAAAAAAGACAAATTTGCACTAGAGAAATGGTTACTAAAGAGAGTAACTTTAATGAAAACATGACGCCTGTCATATGGTTACTGGCAATTATGATAAAACCGATATAGGAAGCAATAAAAAACGATAGTATCACGAAATATAATAGATATAAATAAATGCATTTTTGGAACATCCATTAGAGAAATATGTATTGGAAGAAAATGCATTAGTGGAAGATACATTGGAGAAAAGTACACTGAAACAATGTGCACTGAAAAAATGTGCACTGAAAAAATGTGCACTGGACAAAAGAGCACTAGATAAATGTGCACTTGAGAAAGGTTCACTGGAAAAATGTGCATTAGAAGAAGGTGCACTAGAAACCAGTCAATTGCGAACATGTGCATTTGAATGCCCAAAGCCTAATAGCTTTGGATGGAAACAACCTATAATGGAAATTTGAGAGCAGGTGTCTATTATGACTGATGATTTTAATGTAACTATGGACAAAGAAGAACAATTCTTTAGAAATGTAATGTGTGCATTGCAGATTTCAGAGATTTAATACGATAAAATTGATATTAAATTTGGCTTACCGCGATATTATTGTCAATATTTAGTCTAAATTCTGTGCCCTAGTTGGAGATTAGTTCTACTACAGACCATGTCCATTAGAACATAGTAGGGAAGCTGCAGGTTGCATAAAAAACTCATAATGTTCAAATTAACCTATTCGAAATGGAAATTATAAAGTGTGTTTTAGAACTAAATTTATGATAGATAATGTTGTAATATACGATAAACAAATTTTATATTACATTTTTTGTTGTTATATATTTCAAATTTTCAAAATATTTGATAGAAAGTTTCCACAAATTTGATATAGATCCTTCATTGAAAACGAACTTACATCTTCCGAGACTATTAGCGATTTAGCGAAAGGACTTAAAAAACATACTTTAACAATCGAAAAAAATGTTTTTGAAAAAATTTAAGTTTCAAGAGAATATAAAATTTTCAAATAAAATTATATTTTAGAAAATTCAATGGATCGATATTTTCAGAAAAATATCCAAATAGGAAACAATTCACATAATATTAAAATGAGTTAAAATTAATTAAACTATATTTACTATTTGCAAAAAAATAAATATTTTCCAAAAATTTAAAAATTAAAAAGAAAATTGCCTCATTTTTTTGTAAGTACTATAACTTTTTTATGAATGTCTATGATTGTATTTTCAAATATAAAAATATTTATGCGTTATGTATGCGAGGAATTTATTGCAATTTTTCTATGTAAAACAATTTGAATTTATTTATTATTTTGTAATGAAAAAACTTTCAATGCAATTTCAACTGCATGTGACACTAAAGTAATTATAAGCTACTATCATTACAATTTTTGTTGAACTCGATTCATAAAGAAATCATAAAGGTGCGAAACGACTTTGTATTTTGAAAAAAAAAATCGATTTTTGTCTATATTCTCACCTCATCTTAAAATTTTATTTGTATAAAAATCACACTTGAACACAATTCATTAAAAATTTAGTTTAGTAAGAAAAAACATGTTTACCACCTTTAATTGCAATGTACGTCGTCATCTTTTCAAAAATCAATGGTGAAAATAAAAAAAAAAACAATTTCATCCCATACAAGAAATTTTTTGATGGGTTTTGAAACGAGGTTACTTACAAAGTTTATATTTTCATAAGTTCTGTCACTCAGAATTGGTCTGCGGTTCAAAAGTTTCTTTTAGGACATATATTCGATTCGAAACAAGTTGCTTAAAAAATTTAAGTGATTTGTATAACTATTTCTCAGATTCTTAAATAAAATTTTCAATGTAATTTTCAAAAATTTAAATATTGAGTATGTAGCATTGTAAACTATAGGTAAAAGTGTATAATGAATGTTCGTGTTTATAAAATTTAAACTGAACAAAAAAATTTTACTAGACAATAGGTAATATCTAGAGATAGGTATTGGAAAAATAGTCAAGATCTAGGCTTGATAGTAAAAATGTTACAACACTTAAATGGGGCCCCATCGAGCACGATCAGAAAGCAAAACAACATTTTTTTTTAAAAAAAAGAATAATTTTAACGTAGTTTGCATTTTTTTCTTATCAAGAGGTATTAAACTTCGACATGTTAGCTTTAAGAGAATTTATTTCTGCTGCAATATTACTGCAAGCTCTAGAAATCAATTTAATTAGTAAGTTTTTGCACATCCGATAAGTTAATATTCTTGTTAATAAATCTATAAAACTAATCGAAATTATACATTCTTCATCAAAAATTGGAATTTAAAATTTTTATAATTTTATATTTGTTTTTGTTACTACTTGAATTGTTTAATAGTTAGATTTTGATAAATCATTTTCAGATTTCTTCCTTCACTGTTTCAAATCATTAGTTTCATTTCTAGAATATTACAATATGACAGTAATGACTTATAAAAAAACTGTGCAAATTAAAATATGAAAATTTAGTGAATTAGTTTGCTAAAGATGTCGAAATATTTCACAAAACAGATGGATTGCAATAACTATTTCAAAGAACAAAAGACAAAAATAATGAAACGTTATTAAGATGAGTTATCACATGTTATTATGATGAGTTATTATGACAAGATAAGAGAATTTTGAACTCGAAATATATTTTAGTGTATACTATTGCATATATTATTGTATATTGTATATATTAATTTCACAAACTAAATAAAGATTCCAAAAACTTTGCGACGTAAATAGTAACATTTGTCTTTTTGAAATGGAGAATGAAAAAACGTTTCCGGAAATCTATAGAAATATCTCATAAAATCATGAATTGATGACTCTAGAAACAGGTTTGCATCCAGTTTTCCCAACGAAATAACAACAAGCATTTTTCTCTTGGCCCTTCCAGTTACAATCGCAACTGCTAAAAGAAATGTTTAGAATTGAAAAATTACGTAAAACTTTTAGGACAAAAATGTCTACCAGACCTATATGTTTCTAATGAATCTTTATAAAATTTAAAGATCATTAAATAATTTAATTTTTCAAAAAATTCGAAGAAACTGAATATATATTTGGAATCATTTGTGAAAAATTCAGAAAATGAGAGACAATTAGATAGATAAGAATGATTAATGAGGATGGATTTGGCTAAAGGAGAGGTCAGTAAAGACATCATAATTAAATTGTGGTCAGAACGTCTGCCACACCACATTCGGCCACAATTGATAGTTTCTCGTCATCTTGGTCCGGAAGCCCTGGCGGCCGAGTTTTGGTCGATCACTGTAGCCCCACATCACATGTCCACAACACACAAGTCTTCAGTAGAACAGAGACTGGACCGCCACGAAACTCTTCTTATGTCTTGCGTCCAGGAAATCAAGGAACTAAGGGAAATGTTAAACACTGAAAGGCAGAAAAATGATCAACAAGAATCACAACACAACCGGTCAAGATCAAGAAGTGGTTCTCGACATAGTTCCAGGACACCTTCTCGTGGATCAGTTTGTTACTATCACTACAGATACGGTGAGAAAGCCACAAAGTGTGAAGAGCCCTGCCTGCTTAAGTCTTTAAACCGGTCGGAAAACTCACTTCACCGTCATTAATTGGAGCTTGTCATGACGGTGAAATAAATTCTGTCTGCTCTGAGCTCCGCCTACATATTTCAGACAGAAAGACTGCAATCCAATTTCTTATAGATTCAGGATCAGTTTTATCCATTTTACCAGCCCATAAGTTCGCCAATGGTCATTCCAAGGGAGAGTTAGTTTTATTTGCAGCAAACTCTAGCAGAATTTCCACATATGGCAAGAGAAGTCTGGAGCTGGATCTATCACTACGCAGAAGTTTTAACTGGCAATTTGTTGTTGCCGATGTAGCCACAGCCATAATAGGAGCCGATTTCCTAAGCAACTACAATCTATTAATAGACTTGAAGGGTAGAAGATTGATTGATTCGACCACAGGTCTTACCTCTGATGAAAAGGTATTCTGGGCACAGCAAGTCAACATCTCCACTGTCAACCCGGCAGAGCCTTTCAAAGATTTACTGGCACAATATATTGCAATAACAAAGCCACAGGTAACCATCAATAATAAATCATCTCATTTTGCCCACAGGATAACCACAACAGGTCCACCATTAGCTTCCAGATTCAGGAAGATCTTCGGAGAAAAGGCTGTTGCAGCCAGGTCAGAGATACAAGATCTCCTAAACAGGGGCACTTTGAGGCCTTCCAACAGTCCATGGGCAAGCCCTATTCACTTGGTTCCCAAAAAGAATGGCACATTCAGAATGTGTGGAGATTATAGGAGGCTGAACGCAAACACGCTGCCCGACAGGTATCCTCCACCATTAATACAAGATGTTTTTAATAATCTTCATCAGAAAGCAGTACTTTCTACAATAGACTTGGAAAAGCCTACCACCAAGTACCCATGCATGAAGAGGATATAAAAAAGACAGCAATTATCACACCATGGTGACTCTTCGAGTATCTACGTATGCCATTTGGACTCAAAAACGCCGCCCAGACATTCCAGAGGTTTATCAATCACATATTCCAAGATTTCAATTTTGTTTTTATTTATATAGACGACATCCTGGTAATGTCGACTGATATGAATAAACACCGTCGTCATCTTCAAATGGTTTTTGAGAGGCTACAGGAATATTCACTCACAATCAACTTAGAGAAATGCGCCTTTGGAAAAGATGAAGAAAACTTCCTTGGTTACAAACTGAGTGCAGCAGGATATTCTCCTTCACCAGACCGAGTAGAGAAAATTATTAATTATCCAAAACCTTCGACAGTTATAGAACTCAGAAGATTTTTGGGCATGGTGAACTATTATCGTAAATCAATTCCTCAAGCAGCAAAAGTTCAAGCACCACTTTATGAGTATTTGAAGTCCTCCGTTGAAAATGACAAGACTCAAATTGTATGGAATGACACCTCATTATTAGCATTCAGCAAGCTGAAGGAAGCTCTAGCAAATGCAATCATTTTCCTTCAAGCATAGCAAATATTAATTTAATTACAGATGCATCTACAACAACCATTGGAGCAACTCTGGGGCAGGAAGAAAACGGCGCATGGCACCCTATAGGTTTCTTTTCCAGAAAGCTCACATCTACTGAACAGCGATATTCAACTTACGATCGCGAGCTACTAGCCATCTTTGCGGCTTTAAAGTATTTTGAATATCTGCTAGAAGGAAGGCACTTTGTAATCAAAACAGACCACAAGCCAATCACACATGCATTTCAACAGAAATTAGAAAAAGCATCAGATCGTCAGCGACGGCAGTTGGAATACATTTCACAGTTTTTCACGGACATTGTATATATGAAGGGTGATCAGAACGTGGTTGCAGATGCCTTGTCCAGGATCAATGCCTTCAAAGTTAGCCGCAGAGGAAATGTCGCAAGAACAGAGCAAGGACGTTGAAATGCAAACTATATTAAATGGCAACACCTCTCTGAATCTTCAAAAATTAACATTAGACGGCTATCCAGTTTATTGCAACACGCAAGATAATTTTGTGGAGCCCTACCTTCCGCAAAGTCTTGGCAGAATTGCTTTTGACATTGTACATGGGAATGCACACCCAAGCATAAGGATTACTTCAAGGGAGTTGCGAAGAAGGTATGTGTGGCCTGGGATTGGTAAAGACGTCACCATGTGAGCACGTCAATGCATTCCTTGCCAAAAATCCAAAATACACAAACATATCACCTCACTTCTATCCATATTCCTTTTCCTGAAAACAGATTTTCACATATTCACATCGACATAATTAAATTACCTAATATTAATGGATATCCTTATTGCCTAACAATCATCGACAGATTCACAAGGTGGCCAGAAGCTATTCCTCTAAAGGACATTTCTTCAGACGATTCTTTAAGCCCTATTTTCAAACTGGATATCAAGATTTGGTACACCATGTGTGATAACATCCGACCAAGGATGCCAGTTTGAATCAGCTATATTCAAATCATTAATGGATTCAATAGGTGCTAAGAAAATACGGACAACGGCATACCACCCTCAGTCCAATGGTCTGGTTGAATGCTGGCATAGAACTCTGAAAGCAGCTTCAATGTGCTCTCCTGAGCCCTGGATCGAAGTATTACCTGTAGTCTTACTAGAGTTACGTTCATCATACAAAGAAGACCTTAAAGCATCCCCTGCTGAGATGGTTTATGGAACCACATTAAGACTACCAGGCGAGTTTTTCACATCTAAAGAACTGTCATCCGATCCACAAGCATTTCTGGATTGTCATAGAAAAATAATGCGTGATATTAAGCCTACAGCCACATCTCTTCATAATAAAGCCAATATGTTTGTACTCAAGGAAATGAATACATGCACTCATGTAGTTGTCAGGTCAGATCATATTCGAAAACCACGATCTCCATATAGTGGACCATATAAAATCATAGAAAGAATTTCAAACAAAGTGTACAAAATTTCTATGGATGGTACTGATAAGAACATATCGGTTGACAGATTAAAACCAGCATATACAGTTAAAACAGATAACAGTCAACCAAGCACATCTCAAGAATTTAAATCACATAACTTGGAGTTATCGATGAATCCTCCAAAAAAGATGAAGTCTAAAAAAGTCTTCTTTAAATTATAATAATTAAATTCATTTATTTCTACCGGATACTTCTTTTTCTTTTGAAGGGGAGTGATATAGCGGAGTCAACACGCCCACATATGACAGTTGATTGACGCAAATCGAATATGATATCAAGCAAGCCAAAGCGAGCGGATTGTTTTAATACGATCAAAAAATATTATATCGCTTTTTTTGAAACGATCTAAAATTATGTATCGCGTTTTTCATCGAGCATTTTTTCGGGATCAAAATTGATATTAGATTTAATGTAATATCAAAACCTTTATTAATTGAGATATAAATAAACACTCATTGTCGAGTCTACATCAAGTAATTGCGATTTCATTTAAAGATTTAATTAATAAATAATATATGGCTCTCATATTTCATAGATATCATGTAATTTAGTATATGGCTAATGTACTAGTTTATAAAGCCAATAAATATTTTACACTCTATATACCAGAGATAGATTTGGATTAATATTGCAGCGATTTATGTTCTGTGATAGATTCAAATGATGTTATATTAAAATAATAAATGATAAAATAACCTTCTTCTGAATAAGATTATGGAAAGTATCTTCAACGAAGGAATGGCGGTAGAAAACGTCAATAGCCCATAAATGACAGCGACTTATATGCTGTAAAATATTTCATAATCCCTTATATTAAAATTATGAACTGTAAAATATTTTTTTTATAAATAAGCATTGGAAAAACCTTCTATTGAGAAGGTCGGGATAGAGAAAAAGCTTTTTATTGAGGAAAGTAAGGTCTTATAAAAATAATATAGTACTTTTATTAGAATATACTTCTTGAAGCAATCATTCAAAAAAAATATAAAGCAACACAAATTGGTGAAAACAGCAATACAGATTGATGTTCTTAACAAATTTTTATATACAATGTTGAATAATATAAATAATTCATATTAAAAGTCTGAACATAGCTATCTCGATTTATGTAATAGGATTGTGCAAATATCTCATTAGTAGCTGTGCATCAAAACAAGAGGTTGATTGCTGGTTATTTAACATTGAATAAGGAAAAATTATAACAAACGTTTTTATATTGAAATAACGAACAATTATATTTCAATTAAGAAAATTGGGACGCAGAAGAAGTGCTTGACTGCTAGTTATTTTACATTAAATAACTCTTTATTAAAAGTGAGCTTTTAAAATTAAATTATTAATAAAACAAATAAATAAATTGTTTATAATCACATTAATGGAGATATAATTGATTAATGAACTTCAAAAGAAACTCCACTATATTAGCAATGATCTTACTATACTAAAAATTCAAAATCTGGATGGTGATAGGAGTGTAAAAATAGAACTATACATACCTGTCGAGTTATTGTCATATAAAATAAATACACATTAATAATTAGAATTTTCAATTTTTCTGAAGTGTTGCACTATTGGTTTAGTATTGAAAACGAGTATTCGGTAATTTCCCAATGATCAAATCATCAAGTGATTCTTTAGAACATTTATTAAATTTTACCTCTTAAAGCAATAATTTTAATAATAACATAACGCAAAGCCATTCACAGAAAGCAAGGGACATGGAATAACTTCAATATTTCAGCGACATCAAACTCGGACCTAGAATAGATTGCCAGTTATTTTACTTTTAATAGCTCTTGAATATGAAGAACGTGAGCTATTAAAATTATATTATTAATAAAAAAAATGTATATGGTCAACCGCTGGATTCGCTTTTTCAAAAATGTAATGAGATTTTTATATTGTCAATACAAGTAAAATGTTTTTTGAATTGTTAAAATCGGACGCTTCGTTGTCTTAAAATCTGAGTTACCATTTTTGGCACTTTTTGCCCCGTATCTTCGGAACGGCTCAACCTGCCTTAGGCAAAAACTAATAAGCACGTCTTCTTATCAATACGAATTGAAAGTTTTTTAAATTATCCAAATCGGTTACTCCATACTTTTTTGTTATAATTTATTTTTGTTAATCAAGACATTAAATGTCTTATTTACAAAATTGATATGTGCAAAAAAAGAAAAAATACAATAAATTGAATATATAATTATAAAAGTTAAAATACAAAACAGTAATACAAAAATAATATCAAAAATGAACTAGGGCGTGATGATGTATGCCGCGTACTAAGTTAGGGCGCGTGCAAGCATTGGGCTAGATGTTTGGTACATCATTGTTCATGATGATAGTAGGCGGATTGTTGTGGTGTTTTAGTGAAACAATTATGAGCTGAAATTTTTCAAAACTGTCGAAATTATCGAGAATTGATATGTTTGAACCATATAAATAAACTTCAAAATTCAAAATCAAAATTGGTACGGTACCCAATAAAATAGACACAAAATGTGTACACATTATGAAAATCTTTATAAAATATATCTGATAATTTGATGTAGGGTAGAGCGGGGCTAGTTGAGTATAGGGGCAAGTTGAACAATCGAAATATCTCGAAAACTAATTGTCCGTTTAGGCATTATATGGAGGAAAGATAGAGGTTTGGGTGAAATAAACATCCCTCGATCGCTAGTGGCCGCTGGACAAATGAGTGAGCCTCACCAACGTTTTGTTTATTTTGAGACCAAAAAGTAACTAGTTGGTTTGGTTTTTAGCCCTAAGGCAAGTTACATGAACTTCCCGATATGTTTAAGTAATCGACTTAATCAATAAAAAATAAATTAATTTATGAGTCATTAAAAGTATTCCAAGTGGATTTATTACACATAATTGAAAACGAACGAACACTTTGACTCCGAGTATTTTCTACAAGCAAATTTTATATAATTGAACCAGTTTTCAGGACTTTAATGGTTTATTGTGTTCAAGACCAAATACTTTATGATTATACCAAGTAAATAGTCTAATTTTAATTTTAACAAATCTCAAAAGAACTACTCATTTTCTCAAACTTTGATGAATTTTTAAAATCAAACTATCTGTCGTAAGGCCGTAATATTTCAGTAAGTTCTATAGGACCATGGTATATATCACTAAAAAAAATCTATAAAAATTGGCTTAAATTTTTTTTCAATAGTTAATTACAAGAAAACGGCTCGGTAGATTTTCACCTAAAACTAATCAGTATCATTCCCAACTAATATCTTTCGAACAGTTTTCGATTTTTTAAAATCGGTTCGGTAGGATGAGCTTAAATGTGGACGAAAAGTTTAACACTTTTTTTCAAATTATAAAGAAACGGCTTGGCAGATCGTCACAAAACTGACAAACGATAGTCCTCACCGAAATACATCAAATGGCTTTTAAATTTCTGAAATCGGTTAAGGCGTTTTTGAGAAAACGTCAATCAAAGATCTCATTTTGACAAATGTCAAAAAAACGATACCAATTTTTGCAAACTTTGACGAATTTTTAAAGCTAAACGAGTTGTCGTAGGACCGTAATATTTTAGTATGACCTAGAAAACTATGGTATCTACCGTCAAAAAAAAAATCATAAAAATCGTCGAAATTTTTTTTTTTAAAAACTTTATTGCAAGAAACCGGCCCGGCCGATCTTTACCAAAAACTAATCAGCACGATTCCCAACCAATATCTATCGAATGGTTTTTGAATTTTCAGAATCGATTCAGAATTGCGGGCTAAAACGTGGACGAAAAAATTTTCACTTTTCTGCAATTTACAAAGAAACGGCACGGCCGATCGCCGCACAAAACTCAGAAACGATAGTCCTCATCGAGATACATCGAATGGCTTATAAATTTTTGAAATCGGTCCAGCCGTTTTGGAGAAAACGTCGATTTACGGCAAAAAATCTGTTCACACACACACGCACACACACACACACATACTTTTTCCAAATTTGGTCTCATTCGATTCAGAATGGCTTGAAACGTCGAGAAAACATAAAATTAGCGAATCGGATTTTTTGATGAAAACATAAACTTCTCCTTCGGGAAGTTAAAAAAGTCATTCATCACGAGTTTTCGTCTGGTTTAGTCAAATGTTATTTATTTTTAATCAGGTAAATGTTATTCTTCCATATAATTATAGTACATTTAATATGAACAGGGATTCTGGGTATAAGTCTCATGGTTTTTTTATAAACTCACTTTTATTTTGAAATTCCGAGTTGGGGTTAGTTGAGCATAGTTGCTAAACTTGTTCTGTCACTAACACAATTACCATTAACTTCCAGAAATTAATTATTATTTTTAAGATTTAAGCTAAGTCTATGAGTAATAATATAAAGAAATAATGTCTTTAAACAAAAATACTGAATATAATGGTAAAATAATTCCTAAGATACGATATTGTTTTGTTGATCCTATTTTTGGTTAATTATTCAAAGAAACATACTATAAGTTTTGTTTTTTCTATCAATAAAGACTATAAATATAGAACTGGTTATTAAAAACTTATTTTGTTTCATCACTAATCGACATTGAACCTACGATTTTATTATACTTTCATAGTGCTCAACTTGCCTCACCTATGAGGTACATTGAGCATACATGACTTTTTGCATTTAAACAGCTGTAGCTTTTAAATTTTACTTATTACCAAAAAATAGTATTAACACTTTTGTTAAGCTATAAACAACAAATCCATTAAGCCGAATAGCAATTTATTGAGACTTTTCATTGAGGAGCTACATCCGTTTAAGTAAAAATTTGCTCAACTAGCTCCGCCCTACACTACATATGTCTAATGATCATTTTTGACGGCCATAAGACGTCTTTTTAAACTTATTTTTATTAAGAGTCCATAACCGCTAGATCTGCCTTACAAAAAAATTAATCAGTTTTTTATCTTGTCAATACAAGTAATTTTTTTTTTGAATTATTAAATGCGGACGCTCCGTTCTCTTAAAAACTGATTTACCGTTTTTGGCACTTTTTGCGCCGTATCTTCGGAACGACTAGACCTTTGCCAAAAACTAATGAACGCACCCGGAGGCACTGGCAAAACATTTATTATTTCATTGGTTCTTGCGCGTGTGCGGTCGCAAAATAATATTGCGTTGGCGATAGCTTCATCAACAATTGAAG